TCCGAGAACGCCGTACCCCCACCGGTTATCGGCGTGGGAGGGAGCGGGGATTATCGGAACGCCGTACCCCCTCTGGTTGTTGGCGGGGAGGGAGCGGGGGTACGGCGTTCCGAGAACGCCGTACCCCCGCTCCCTTCCCCGCCGATGATTGGTGGGGGTACGGCATTTTCGGAACATCGTACCCCCCCCCCTCCGGTTGTCGGCGGGGGAGGGAGCGGGGGTACGGCGTTTTCGGAATGTCGTACCCCCTCTGGTAGTCGGCGGGGAAGGGAGCGGGGGTACGGCATTCTCGGAACGACATACCCCCGCTCCCTCCCCCGCCAACAACCGGAGGGGGCGGTACAGCGTTCTCGAAACGCCGTACCCGTGCTCCCTCCCCCGCTCCCTCCCCCGCTGATGATTGGTGGGGGTACGACGTTTTCGGAACGCCGTACCCCCTCTGGTAGCCGGCGGGGAAGGGAGCGGGGGTACGGCGTTCTCGGAACGCCGTACCCCCGCTCCCTCCCCCGCCGACAACCGGAAGGGGGGGTATGGCATTCTCGAAACGCCGTACCCCCGCTCCCTCCCCCGCCGAGAACCGGAGGGGGTACGGCGTTTTGAAAACGCCGTACCCCCCCCCTCCGGTTCTCGGCGGGGGAGGGAGCAGGGGTACGGCGTTTCAAGAACGTTGTACCCCCCCTCCTTTCGCTTCCCAGGAACCGGAGGGGGTCCGGAGGTTCGAGAACGCCGCACCCCCTCCGGTTCGCGGTGGGGGTAGGGAGCGAGGTTGCGGCGTTATCGTAACATAGTCGTACCCCCTAGGCCCTGTACGTGGACAAAGCCGAAGGGGTACAGCGTTTTGAAAACGCCGTACCCCCGCCGGTTCGCGGTGGGGGGGGAAGGGAGCGGGGGGGCGATGTTCTCAAAACGTCGTACCCCCTCTCGTTTCGCATCGAGGCAATCGAAGGGGGTGCGGCGTCTTCAAAACGTGATGTGATAGTAAAAGGTTTGATATCTGAAAGCGATCCGTTCTTCTGTTCGGAATGTGCCAACCATCAGGAGGAACATCTGCTGTCCCGGAAAAGAGAGTCTATAAGACCTGCTCAATGTATAGAGATAGGGAGTGGGCCCTTGATTGGGTGGGGGGCCTACACGAGGCGGGATGTGGGGCCGCTTTGTTTCTGAAGACCGCCACGGGCGATGACTGGTTCTGTGTTGGAGGGATTGTTAAATCCGAGGATGAGAGGGCGGACGGGCATGGACGGAAGTTCAGGAGGTTTTTCCTGACAACGGTGTACGACGAACAGGAAGTGGACCATGCGAAGGTAGACCATAAAGTCAGCCTTGATTACAATTTGTTCAAGGGGTATGGAGTTAAGGCGATTACCAAGAAAGCCTTCGATGCCTCCCCGAAAGAAGACGGGAGTGTGTTGACGATGCTTGGCCCCGTGAAATTCCTCGCCAAAACGAATGGGTACAGGAGATCCGGAAACAGTCCCACGGTACAGGTCGGGCATCGCATGTCTTCGACACTCGTGCCTTTTGACACGCCGGACGAGGATCTCCCCGGCATAGCAAAGAGAGAGAGACAGAGGGCGCCACATTATTTTCCAACGCAGCAGACGTCAGCAGGTGGAAGCTGGCGCCGCAACAAACGGACCCAACAGCGTCATCAGCCTGACGAAGGGGCTCGTGGTCCTCTTGTGGAATCGACCCACCGGAGGGAATGTGCAGGACTGTCTCAGCCGTCCACCCGGTAAGACGAACGCACCCCTGTCATTACATACAGAAGGAAGGCCTGCACAACTGGTCCGTCTGCTGCCCGCCAGAAAGACTATGGTGGTGCGTCCGGGAGGGCGGCCCTGCGGGAGATAAGCGAAGGATCGGACGAGGAAACGGAGGATGATCATGGGATTGGTGTTGATCGACATCCGCAGGGTAATCATGCCGTCGACGATGAGGAATGTGGGGTCGAAGAGGACGATGCCAAAGAGGAGAAAAGCTCTAGGGAGATGATCGTGAGGAATCTATGCACGACTGCAAGGACGGGGAGTCTCGACAGTACGACGAGGGGGACTATGGGGGCGATGGAGAAAACGATGATGCCTATCCTGACGATGATGAGGATGGAGGGCAAGAAGGGTCGGCTGATGTGGAGGTCGATGAGGGAACAGGAGATCGGTCGGAGGGCAGTGTGCACAAAAGGAAGCGGCGATCTTCAATAAGTCCAACGGCGACGGCGGATAAACGTGCTGCGAAGAGCCTCACTGTCGCTGCATCTCGAGAGATACTCAGAGCTTCTCAAGAGGCGGTCGCAGAAAACGTGAAGAACCGCAAAGGGAAGGCGTCAACCAGGACGACAAAAGCGGAGAAACGTCCACTGAAAAGAAAGCAGATGGTCGATGAGGGTGACTCCGGAGAGGACGCCGAAGGGGTTGCTCCAAGGGCTCCGTTGGAACAGACACAACCTTCCGCCGACACCCGTTATGACGCTATCGACACAACACGGTGCTTCTTCTTGGAGTTCGATGAGGATGGGTTTGCGAAGAAGAATCGGGAACACATTCAAGTGGATGTAACGAAGATCTTGCCAATTCTTGAAGGTGACATCCTCTTCAACCATAGAACATTGGACGAAACGTTGGTGCAGTCCATATACGATGCGATCCATTATGCGGCTAAGGAACCAACGGGAAGTGGGATATCATGACTTTCATCCTGGCTCCCATTGTACCGAACGAGGACGACTCTCAAGGCAGACGGATCACACCGAAGGAATTCGATGTCGCACTGGCTCATACATACCACCGGTATGCTGTTGCTGGCCAGCACACGGCTAACGCAATGAACAGACTCATTAAGGACAAGTCACCAGCCGAGAAAGTATACGGCTTGAGGTCGTACTCTCACGTACGCGTTGTCTACTTTGACGACGACAAAAAGAGAGGATATCTGTACGTCTCGACATTCGACAACACGAGGGAGGAGCGTTCCATCCCGAGGTTGTTTTCGTCGTCTGTGCGGCAAATCAGAAGATTTTGGGATAAGAGGAATGACCGGATCCGTCGTCCGGGCACCGTGTTCCCGAATGACGTCGAGGGAATGGAACGGCAAAAGAAGTGGGAAGCGTTCATGAACGCCACCTGCAAAATGACACCTGATTCTGGTCTCATGAACTCGTCACTGGAGAACGACTACTACAAGGACTAGACGAACACGATGCGCGGATACATGAATCTTGCGCAGTGCGGCGAGACGGTATGACCACTGGTAAACAAATTCTTTGACATGTACGAGAAAGGACTATTGCCAAGAATCGACGGTGTGAGATACGTCGATCTGCCGGGGAAAGTTGAAGGGAGGCTGCCTGGGCAAAACTTCCTCAAGGACAACTCCGGCAAAAAAGTCTTGTACCACTGCATCAAGGTCAGAAAGGGGCCGCAAGGCGCAACGGTGTCTATACCAGACTTGACGCCCTCAATCTTTAAGTTGTTTGGCGATATGACAATGAGAGAGAAGCAAGTGGCGCTGCACCACATGATGCATGGTGATGTCATCGTGACATCATGTTCGGTACCTCTTCATCGGTTATACGACTATCTTGGAAAGGTACAACAAAAACGGCCTCACTGACGAGAAATGGACCGAGGAACGCGATCGCATCCCTGACGACAAGGCGACGAAGGTGCCGAGGCGTTTGGGCGGTCCTGATGAGATTCATGGCGGGAACGGTGCAGGGCTGGAGGCAACCCAAGCCATGTACAAGGAAACCCCGTTCCACCTCAAGTGTTTCATCTACGAGGCGATCGATTGCTTGGACGACTTGGGAGAGGAGGTTAATCGGATATCCTCCAATGCTCGTCACATCTTTTGGGAAGTGGGGAAAAGGATTACTACGATCCTGCCATATGAAATCGAACCGAAGGGAGTGCTCACCGACAACGAGGAGGTTGTTGGTACAGCGAGGGGGATGAAGGTACGGGCAATCATTCTCGATATGTCTACATCACAAAAATGTGTTCCATGGGATGATGACGCATTTTCCGAACTGCACGCTTTCCTCACGACATGCTGTGGCGAAAACTGGGCCTTGATCATTTTCGCGCCGATGAAGCACCAAAAACAGGTGATGCAGAGTGTGTACAAGTTCGACGATGTTGAGGTGCTCACTGGGTCATGGTACAGACACTACACACCTTCGACAACCGTGAACAAGTACGGCAACATTGCAGTTCGGTACATTGATATGATGGCTATTGTCCTCCACGCCGAGAACGGCAATTTGAACAATATAATGGTTGCGCCGAAATTGCGAGCCGAATTGACAAATTTTAACATTGAAGAGGGTGAGTACGTGAGGTGCTCAGGGGAGTGTATCGGCGTGGAGGGCGACACTGATGCGGTTTATTCTTGGATGGAACGAAAGTCTGCACGTCTCCGTAAGCTATGCAGCTCATTCATCAGGGAGAATGATGGCGTGATGCTGTTGGGCAGGGCGCATGCGAGACTGATTTGGGAACTGGCCGCGCCGGACACCACGTGTTTGCGTGTGACGACACGACAAAAGAGCTCACATACCTTTCCAAGTTTTTGGACTTCTATGTGAAGGATCCGAGGAACAGATGCAGGTTCAAAAAGCCCCAAGTCGAGCACCGCAAGGATCGGGACATATACTATAAGCTCGGTAGAAAGAGGGAGAAAGTGTGGGCTTACTTGTTCGGTGACGCTCCACAGTCGGCGGTTGGTAACAACTACGTCATCAGGAAAAGCGAACTCGAGATAGCAATGAACGAGTACCACGACTCGCGCATGGGTGTTTTCCACATGTTTGTCGCACGTTGTGAGCATCTGTATTTGAATGTGAAGAAAAGAGCACTGTCAGGCCGGGACTATGCAGACTTGGCATGTAAAGCCGGCAACTTCAACAACCTCGATTGCGACGAAGACACGTCAGACTCCGACCTGGACATCCCTTCGCGCGCGGCACGAGGTGCGGCGGAGGGAGCGCGTGGCGAGGAGCCGCAAGGGAGCACCAACGGACCTGCGGAGAAGGCGAGTTCGAGTATGGGAGCAACACGTGCGAGTGAGGGAAATGTGGAAACAAGAATGACTGGAAGGGGAGAAAGGAATGGTGTACCAACAAACCCGGTGGTTGCGAGTGAGGGGATAGTTAACTCACAGGGCAACACAGGGGGAGGAGAGAATTGATGTGCAATGGCCCCGCCGACAACTGGGCCATCATCGACACATGCACCGCAGGCCGAGCAACGAACACTCACGTCCATGGACACCGATGAAGACGAAGAGTTGGGTATGACAGCACTCACGCAGAAGTTTGTGTCAGGAAGACCATTGCCTCAAGGCTTTGCCCCAGACCCTTCAGTGCCATACTTGCTGCAGGACAAGTACAAAGAGTCATCGGAGGAGGATTGGGGTCATTTATATTCTCTGGCATGAGGGTGTGTTCGAACCGTGTGTGTTTGCAAGCTAGTGGCAGATGGCTGTGAAGACAAGAGACCGAGGGTGGGTCGCGAAGGAGAAAAAGGACGCTGCGATATGGCACAGCGTGACGGAAATGCAATTTTTTCGGCGAGTTTTGAAAGAAAACGCCGGTGCAAGCGAGGAAGTTATAGCGGCAAAGGCGGAAGCTTTATTCGAGCATTTGCGTGCGAACAAAAAGCTAGAATTCAGCACAAAGTTCTACGACCTTGCATCAAGTGTATCGTACGGCTCCATCAATTGGAAAATCGAACTGGCTTCAGCAGTACAAGGAATCGATAGCACCCTGAAGACTCAGGACGTTATCGCATCTAACACCATCATTGCGATTGCCAGAGGGGATCCAGCCTGCGAATCGGACACACGTGCGAACGCAAGTCATGTGCAGGATGAACAGCAGCGAGTATGTGCTCAACAAAGCACTCCGAGAAGCGCAATGGGGGATTCCACAATGATACGCAAGGACGACGACGACATGGAGTCGGGCGCATTGACAGAGCAGCCAACAGGGGGGGTCAACGATGGGACAACAAACGTTGGATCTTTCGGGTCTCTTGTAGTGACAATGGCGGCGAGGCAAGGCGTATCTGAGATGATGGA